GTAGACACAACTGGGTCTCACAGCCAATTGGTCTGGAGGTCAATTCTGCCCAGTGATATCAACAGCAATTCAGGCTTAACTACTACAAGACTGTGCACACAACTCATAAAGGGGTGCACCAAGAGTGTCCATCTCAGGTGACTGGGGATGCTGAGCCACTGGGCCTTATAGGACACTAGCATACAAAGCCACTCTATCACCCAGGGAAACAGACAAAATGTGGAGACAAATAAACATGTCACAAATAAAATAAATGGAGGAAAGCAAACTATAGGATATAGAGTTCAAAACCATAGGTTATAAGGTTACTCAAGAATCTTCTAGAAACCTCCAATAAATTTAGTTAGATATGAAGGTTATGAAAAAGGATATGAAAAAGGACCAATTAGAAATTAAGCATAAACTGATTGAAATAAAGAATAATATACAGAGATCCAATAGCAGACTAGAGAATTCCAAGAATCAAGTCAAAGATTTAAAATACAAAGAAGCAAAGAACATCCAACTGGAAAAGCAAATAGAAAAAAGAATCCAAAAATATGAAGATAGTGTAACAACTTCAAGTGTACCAACATCCAAATTATGGGGTGCCAGAAGAAGAAAGAGAGCAATATATTGAAAACCTATTTGAAGAAATAGTGACAGAAAACTTCCCCTACCTGGTGAAAGAAATAGACTTACAAATCCAGGAAGCACAGAGAACCCCAAACAAGAGGAATCCAAAGAGGATCACACCAAGACACATCATAATTAAAATGCCAAGGGAAAAAGACAGAATATTAAAAGAAACAAGAGAAAAGCAGTTAGTTACCTACAAGGGAGTACCCATATGACTGTCAGATGATTTCTACACAGGCCAGAAGGGAGTGGCAAGAAATATTCAAAATGATGAATAGCAAGAACTTACAACCAAGATTACCCAGAAAAGCAATCATTTAGAATTGAAGGACAGATAAAGAGCTTCACAATAAGAATAAGCTAAAGGAGCCGGGACTGGTTTGGCTCAATGGATAGAGCGTCGACTTGGGGACTGAAGGGTCCTGGGTTCGATTCCGGTCAAGGGCATGTACCTTAGTTGCGGGCATATCCCCAGTAGGGGGTGTGCAAGAGGCAGCTGATCAATGACTCTCTTTCATCGATGTTTCTAACTCTCTATCTCTCTCCCTTCCTCTCTGTACAAAATCAATAAAATATATTTTTTTTTAAAAAGAACAAGCTAAAGGAGTTCATCACCATCAAACCAATATTATATGAAATGCTGAAGGGTATTCTTTGAGAAGAGGAAGAAGAAGAAAAAGGTAAAGATAAAAATTATAAACAACAAAATGACAACAAATACATATCTATCAACAAGTGAATCTAAAAATCAAGTAAATAAAAAATCTGATGAACAGAATAAACTGGTGAATATAATAGAATCAGGGGCATAGAAAGGGAGTGGACTGACAATTCTCGGGGGGCAAGTGTGTGGGGGGTGCGGGAAGAGACTGGACAAAAATCGAACACTTATGGACGAGGACAAAGGGGGGTTAGTAAGGGCATAGAGTTGGGTGGGAACCAGGTGGAGGAGAGCTATGGAGAGAAAAATAGAGGAACAACTGTAATAATATGAACAATAAAGACCTCGGTTGTGGGCACATCCCCGATGGGGGATGCGCAAGAGGCAGCTGATCAATGTTTCTCTCTCATTGATGTTTCTGAATTTCTATCCCTCTCCCTTTCTCTCTGTAAAAAAATCAACAAAATATTAAAAAAAAAAAACACAGCAAAATTACAGTTATGAAGTAGCAACAAAAATAATTTTATGGTTGGGGGTCACCACAACGTGAGGAAGTGTATTAAAGGGTCATGGCATTAGAAAGGTTGAGAACCACTGGTAGGGAGATGACGGTGGCAGAGGTGTTTAAAAAAGGAAGGGGCAGGGAAGCCAGGATTGCCAGGATTGCTCAGAAAATGTTTATCAGGTCCAGCAGGTTATTTCAGCAGGTTATTTCAGATAGGCCCGTCACCCCTGCAGCTGCAACCACAGCAGTAGCAGCAACAAAAACAAGGGCTTTGACAGTACTGTAGCGCAAAGCTTTATAGTTTCTTCATTTTTCTTTCATTTACTTAGCAATAAAGCAGTAATACAGAAAGGTAGAATTAGTGGGATAGGATATGTGTGTGGAAAGTGGAAAAGAGGCAGAGCTTTGTTTTTAAAGGAAAAGTTGGGGTAGGGATCCAGAGGAGGGGAGAGAACGAATACTTTTATTTTGCTGAAAAGAAGGCTGGTATCTGAATCTGGGGGAGGAACTTAACTAGTTCCATACCCAAGATTATCGCACTGCCTGGGCAACCCCGCCGAGGCCACTGCTTTCCACTAGCCACAAGAGAGTGGAGAGCTCGCAGCCACCGGCTGTGATTAAAGAGGTGGGTGGCACAGGCAGGAGGCAACAGGATCCGTGGTCGTGCGAAGGGGTGGTACATCCAAGCGGGCGGAACCAATCAGCAGTGACTCCGGGCTCAGGCAGCTCCTCCGAGGCTCATTGCATTCCAAGTACCGGCTCTGCTGGCTGCAAGCTTTCCCGCCGCCGCCACGGAGGCGCAGCGCCCCCGGGGGCACTGCTGGTGCTGCATTCGGTGCACCACGCACACCCTGGCTGGTGCTGCCCCACGCCTCGGTGCGGACCCTTTCCCAGAGAAGTTGCAAGCCTTGCAAGTGGTCCTGTGGAGGCACTGGGCAGGGAAAAGAAGCTGCGGGAGGAGGAACATAGGTGGAGGTGGGCAGGCGACTTGCTTTTCAGATGAGTCCCAGTCAGCACCAGGTTGGCAGATAACCGCACAAAACCGGTGGTTGCCCATATTATCCGTATTTAAAGATAATCTGGCCTTAAGAAAACTTTCAATTCCTGTCGTAGGTCAAAGAGGGACACATTCTCAGCATCACCTCGGAGTAACACCATGTAAAGCAACCCCAGGTGATCCCCAACTGCAGGGCTCTAGCTCAAGACCGCATCTCTCTGAGAACGGCGGGGAGAAGCAGGGTCGGCTCTGCCAAGAGCGCCGGGCACGGGGGTGGGGTGGAAGGTGGGGGGGACGAGATGGCACGCCGAACGTGGCCAACAAAGCGGATTACTGTGGGACTGCACAAACGCAGCCCCATCCGAGGAGTTTTGCCAGGAACGCCGCCGCCTGCATTGCGTCGGACCTGACCATCTGAAACGTGAAATTCCCGGGGAAGGTCACGGCGGGGGACCTGGCGTGTGCGGGAGGGCTGAAAACCACAGGGAAGAAGAATTGGTGGTCTGCTTCTCTGGCAGAAGGAAAAAAGCCGTGCTGGCAAGAGCGGGAACTAAACGCAACCCCCCTCTGTGGAACCACCCCCACACATTTTCCATCTACCTCCTTGCTCCTGCCCTCCCCCGCCCTCCCCAACCTACGCCCGGGCGGGCCAATCGCAGCTCCGCATTCCGGGCGCTTTCTCAGGTTTCTGCTGATCTTGCAGCGCCCAGAAATGGACCGGGCGGACCGGCCGCCGCTCGCATCCTGCCCCGCTCGGCGCTCCTGACGGCTCCCGGCGCGCCGCAGAGCCCTGGCGAGGTGCACACGGTGCTGCGGGAGGTGGAGGACACCTGAGAGCCATGTAGACCCCCGCTTTTGCTCGCCCTCCTCCTCCTCTGGGATCGACCTAAGGACTCCCAAAGTGCTCGGAGGGAGCGAGAGCGCCGCGGATCGTCATTTGCTTCCGAAGGCTTCGGGAGAGGGTGGCATTTTGCTTCTTTTCCGCCTCGCCTCAACCGGAACTCCCTGCGCCCGAGAGGAGAGGACGGCGGCGTCTCCAGGTTGCTGACAGCCGGTGAGAATGGGCACAGGGAACGGACATTTCCCCGCAGTGGCTCCGAAGAGCGGCTGTCCAGCGGAAGAGGCATAGGACGGAGGAGCGAGGGCGGCGCATTGGCTCCGGCGCCTCTCGGATGCTGCGGCGGCGGCAGCGGCCGTGGCTCCCTCCCGCCCGGGCTTTGCCAGAGCGACCTGCCGCAGCTCTGCTCCGGCTCTCCGTGGACTCAGCACCGCCCCTGCGCCACGCCGGCCGGCCAGGTAGGGGGCTCCACAATTGGGTGCTGCAGGAGCGGGGGCTGCGTGGGATAGGTGGGGGCAGCTGGAGGGGGTGGAGGGTGAGGGTGCTGCCTGGGACCTGGAGCTCCCCCAGCGCCTCCAGGCGCTTCTTTCCCCGATCTCTAGTTTAACGAATTTGTAAACAGATCGGCTGTTGGGCATTTGGGAAAGTGGGATGGAAGAACCCAAACTTGGATTTCCGGGCGTCTGTGTGTGCCTGTCTGTGTGTCTGTCCAGCAAAAGTCCAGTTGCTTTCTAGAAAAACCAGGGGTCTTCTGTGCTCTTCGGTGTCTGTAGGTCCGTCCCATCGGAACGCTTCTGATTTTCTACTTCCGTATCACTTTCTATTTCTCTGCAGCGTCCATCGATCGCCCCGCTGGGAGCTTAGAAGGCGGCGGGCGAAGAGGGGCGGGAGGGTGGAGAGCCGAGGAGAAGCGGAGGGGGTGTCAGGAGAGGGGATCTGCCTGCCGAGCTGGCCCTGCACCGGCCCTAGGAGGGCTGAGGAGGGGAGGGGGGGCCAGGGTGACCCCCGAAGCGATGGCCCTGCTCTCTAGGACAGCACTGCGATAAGGCACCTCGGAACTGGAGGAAACACCAACCCTCCCCCATCCCAACTCTTTGAAAAAAAAAAAAAAAAAAAAAAAAGGCTGCGCCCTGGGCTGCGGGTGGCCAGGGGGTTCCAAACTCAGCTCCAGGCAGGGTGGAGGGAGAGGGAACCAGAAGCAAAGCCGCAGATCTCTGCACCTGCTCTCTTTGAAGCCCGCCCCACCCCCTGAGCGCGGGGGAGACGAGGCGCACTCTGGTGGGGGGGCCGCTGGGGTCCCCCCCACCCCTCCCCTCTCCGTCCTTCCCACCGCTGCCTGCCGCCTCCTCCCGGTCCCTCACCCCCGCACGTGGCCTCCACCATGACGGTGATGTCCGGGGAGAACCCGGACGAGGCGTCGGCCACCCCGGGCCACCCCCAGGACGGCAGCTACCGGCGGCTGGCCGAGCACGAGGACCACGAGTGCTGCGAGCGCGTGGTGATCAACATCTCCGGGCTGCGCTTTGAGACGCAGCTCAAGACCCTGGCGCAGTTCCCCAACACGCTGCTGGGGAACCCCAAGAAGCGCATGCGCTACTTCGACCCCCTGCGGAACGAGTACTTCTTCGATCGCAACCGGCCCAGCTTCGACGCCATCCTCTACTACTACCAGTCCGGGGGCCGGCTGCGGAGGCCGGTCAACGTGCCCCTGGACATGTTCTCCGAGGAGATCAAGTTCTACGAGCTGGGCGAGGAGGCCATGGAGAAGTTCCGGGAGGACGAGGGCTTCATCAAGGAGGAGGAGCGGCCCCTGCCCGAGAAGGAGTACCAGCGCCAGGTGTGGCTGCTCTTCGAGTACCCCGAGAGCTCGGGGGCCGCCCGCGTCATCGCCATCGTCTCGGTCATGGTCATCCTCATCTCCATCGTCATCTTCTGCCTGGAGACGCTGCCGGAGCTGAAGGGCGACAACAAGGACTTCGCGGGCACCGTCCACCGCATCGACAACACGACGGTCATCTACACCTCCAACTTCCTCACGGACCCCTTCTTCATCGTGGAGACGCTGTGCATCATCTGGTTCTCCTTTGAGCTGGTGGTGCGCTTCTTCGCCTGCCCCAGCAAGGCGGACTTCTTCAAGAACATCATGAACTTCATCGACATCGTGGCCATCATCCCCTATTTCATTACCCTGGGCACCGAGATAGCTGAGCAGGAGGGCACCCAGAAGGGCGAGCAGGCCACTTCGCTGGCCATCCTCAGGGTCATCCGCTTGGTAAGGGTTTTTAGAATCTTCAAACTCTCCCGCCACTCCAAGGGCCTCCAGATCCTGGGCCAGACCCTCAAGGCTAGCATGCGAGAGCTAGGGCTGCTCATCTTTTTCCTCTTCATTGGGGTCATACTGTTCTCTAGTGCAGTGTACTTTGCCGAGGCGGAAGAAGATGAGTCGCACTTCTCCAGCATCCCCGATGCTTTCTGGTGGGCGGTGGTGTCCATGACCACTGTAGGATATGGTGACATGTACCCTGTGACAATTGGAGGCAAGATCGTGGGCTCCTTGTGTGCCATCGCTGGTGTGCTGACAATTGCCCTGCCCGTACCTGTCATTGTGTCCAATTTCAACTATTTCTACCACCGAGAAACTGAGGGGGAAGAGCAGGCTCAGTTGCTCCACGTTAGCTCCCCTAATTTAGCCTCTGACAGTGACCTCAGTCGGCGCAGTTCCTCTACTCTCAGCAAATCTGAGTACATGGAGATCGAAGAGGATATGAATAATAGCATAGCCCATTATAGACAGGCCAATATCAGAACTGGCAACTGCACCACAGCCAACCAAAACTGTGTTAATAAGAACAAGCTACTGACCGACGTTTAAAAAGCCAAGCAAACAAAAAAAAAGCCCCCCTTAGCAGCTTGAAAGACTTAAAAACAAAACAAAAACCCTGGCGACCCATGACCCATGTCACTCTTTGTCGCTACTTTATTAGTCTTTGAAAGCTCTGTTTAACTGTCAATGCATTATTGCATTGTGGATTTGGGAATGGCCAACCTGAAGCTTTCAAGATTCATTAAAAACAAACAAAACAAAACAAAACTATTTTCATTTTATTAAAAATGGGAAAAGAAAGTGTATTTTATAAAACTGGTTTAAAAAAACATTCAGTCCATAAGCTAGTCTAGGTAAAATAAGATTCATATGCTTCCCCATACCGAAACGTTTGCAATCCTTGGGCTTCTTTAACTTTTTTTCTTTTAACTAAAAACCAGGTGATTACTTAGAAATATAAAATTAAAAGTTGCATGGGACTCCAATAAAACAAATCTTTGCAAACTGCACAGTACATTTAAGACATTGCATCTGATGATATATATAATAATATGACATACCAGCCAAAATGGGTAACGAACAAATGGTATTTTGATCCACTGAACTGCATATTATAAGGTGGAAAAAAAAGAAAACAGAATTACTTTAGACTGGTTCACATAGCACCTTATGAACATGATGCTGATCCTGGTCTTTAGGGGTTCTCCCCCTTTGTCCCCTTCTCCCTCTGATCAAACTGTGCTCTAAGAAAAAGATAAACATTAATTATTCATCTGCAGTGCTGCTAAGTTTTTCAACTGCAGGTGAGCCCAACACAGATCTTGCCTCACTGGTCCTATACCCTGAGCCCTGGCCTCCAGAACTGGATGTAAAACCTTAGTCTCCTCATTGCAAGAGAGCACAAATGGAGTTAAATGTAAGCATGTTTGATTCTGATATTTATTTTACAACCGCATGCCGAGAACGTTAACTCAGACAATAGGGGATAAGCTTACGTTTGAATCGACTCTTCTAAAAATAGGTCCTTTTTCATTTGCATTCACCAAAAGTGCACTCTTTTATTTATTAACTATTTTATTAGCAAATAAAGTACTGTATTTAAGTGCATATGTTAAGTCAGATGGGAACAGTAACTTTTTGGAGCTCAAAGCATGTTCTCTTATTCAGCATTATGGCCTATTTGATTAAGTAAGGTGTACCTTGAATTAATTAATGCATGATTTCAGTAAAAAAAATTTATAAAAAAAATAAAAGCTACAAGTTTGTGGGATGAAGGGCCCAAAGAAATAATAGGGGTGGGAGTAGGGTGGGGGTACTCAGTCAATTTTCCTGCCTTTGCTCAGGGAAATGTCAGGTTTCTGTGCAGGTGTAGGCGGAGAGAGAACCAATATGCCCATTCCTTAAAGGGAAGCTATATGGAAAACTAAATAAGTCATCAAGGTATATGACTATAAACTAAGAACAAGTATTATTTCTAGCTGAAGATAAAAACAAGCAAAACACACAAAAAAAGGTGCAATAATGCATGGTTTTTTTTGGTGCATTCTTAAGATGTAAATGAAAATGTTTATCTATTGTAAGCATCCAAAGCAGAGCTGATTTCTTTTTGCAGTCATGATTTAAAGTCTGTACAGACTTTAGCCCTTCCCTTGAGTCACCCTGAAGAAACTTAACCAATTGATTTAATAGTTGCTTAGTGCCTTTATCCTGTACCCACAGCGAACTGCAGAAAGTGCCTCCATTAACACAGCTGAGAAGTTATGTAACAAAGGGAGGAAGGGTTGGGGCACAGATATTTTGCTTTTCCTGTTTCCATCCTCGCCGTCTCACTATACCACTGTGAGAAGACCACACCGTCTGAACCCTGGAGAGGAAAGATCCAGGAGGGTGCTGTTTCTCTGGCCATCCACTGGACTGCGTCCCTTTGGCAGCCTGATGTGAGATGTAAAATTGGAACCTGAGACCTAGCTTTGAACTGGACATGAACCATGAACTTGTTTGTTTGTTTTTTTCCTCTCCTCCAGATCCAAGATAACTTTTTGGGAATTTGTTTCCCATCGAGGGCCACTCTGGACATTCAGGGCTTCCTCAGGTCCGGTGCAGTGCTTTCGTGCATTTCTGTATTCCTCTGTTAGCAACAGCGCTTTGCAGATCTTTCTGGCATCATTATGCATATGGGAAGGATCACTCAGTTCATAATAACATTTCCCAGGCCCTCCCTCCTGATCCACTCCCTTGAGATATTTCCTATGATGCTCCTATATCTTCCCACCTGGCAGTCACTTCACAGGCTGAGTATCTCACAGCACCCAGCCCAGAGAGCAGCTGGGACCCTGAGCCTAGCCGAAAGAGAGACACACAACACAGGCTTCAGGGGCCCACCAGCTGTCCACCATGGAGAGGCACTCACCGCCTTTTTAAGGACACCAACTGGGGATCTTCATTCTGCACTTAGCATGTGGCCGCCTACCGCCCTGCTTCTTCTGGGATCTTCCCTGTTACCCCCATCCTTTCTTCACCTTATTCTAGAACTATCCGTGAGGCAATAAACGAAGAAACTAAAGTACCACCTAGGCTGGTTCACTCTGTTGAAAGAAAGAACATGGATGTTTTTATTTTCCAAGGCTGTTCTGTGAATCTGTAAGACTAATGTAACATCATGGAAGATGAGGAACCAAGGACTTCGCACATCTGACCACTGCATAAACCCTTCCCTGTAATGTTTCTTTCTCTTTTGAATCTAGTCTCATCTTGGCTATTCCTTTTCTACCTGCTTCAAAGTCTCCAGTTGGGAAAAAATGCAACTTCCTCCAAAGTTCTGGGGATATCATGATCTTTTAGTTAGACTCTGAGGTCTAGGACACGCAAAGCTTGAAATGCTGCACTCTATCAACAGCAATAATCCGCTCAGTACTGTGGGATGGATGGATGGGTCAGAGGATGAGAAAAATGAGATTAACTTTGGCTGCCTGGTATACCTCTCATAGTTAGATGCTGGACTGGTGATGCTTCTGCATGTGTGACAGGAAAAAGTGCTGCATGCAGTGAACCTGTTGGCCCAGGACTGGGGATGAGCTGTTGTTATGAATTTGGGTGGTAGGGGGGAAATGAATGCTGCTTATCCATCTGTAGCTCACTGCAACCAAGTCAGTAAGAATGAGGTACAGGGACTATCTGTGTAGCATAGGCATGTGAAGTTTCACAAAGCTCTTACTCCTGCACTGTAATGTGCTGAAATGTTTTTGTAGACCTGAAGGTGCACTTACCAAAACTGCCTATTTAGTAATGACTATCTTTTGGCTTACTTACTCATATTTATTTTGTCAGGCTTTTTACCTTTCCATCCCCTTCCTAAGTCTTGAGCTTTAATGGCTCAGATCCTGAATACTTGTTTTCTCCTGAAGGAGAAGACTTCTGACATGCTGATAGCCATAGCTCAGCTCTTCCGGTGTTTGGGGCCCTAGTTCAATAGGGTGACAGTGGAAGGGCTGGGTCACACCAGGGCTGTTAGCCATCCCAGAATCTCTGAAGTGGTTAACTCACCTCAAGTGATCTGAATTAGAGAGACCAAAGACCTTCATTTCCTGTGTCCTCAGATTTATAGAAGACAGATTGTCACCAGGAAAGGTTTTTGTTTTTGCATCTCCTCTTCTCCATCTGTGCACAGCCCTCCCTCGCTCCCCCTTGAGAGCTGAGTTTCAATTATCAGTTAAAACAGCTCATTGGGAGTGTGTTAGTGAGTTAGCCTAGCAAAATCAAATGAACCAATAGCAAATTCTTTTTTTTTCTGAAGTATGGCCAATGGAAAATCATTTCTCTAAAATAAAATTGTGCAGTAGATTTAGGCTCCACTGTGGTGGAACCAAAGCACCTGTGACATCACAATCTTGACACACTTGAGAGTTTTTGTATTTTTAAAATTCATTTAAATGGTAAGTGGGAATAGATTTCTTTAAGTAGATATTTGACTTAGTCCATAAGGGACCTTCTTCACATCAGATTTTTCAAATTTCTTAACATCTGACATCATCAGTACAAAATTTCCCAACCCACCCATTTAATATAGGAGACCACAAAATACATGCTTTTAAAATAATTTTATAACTGATTTTTTTCTTTTGAAGATTAGATCAAACAGAAAGGAGAAAGAGAACCTCAGCAGAAAGCAATTTCCCATTTCCTTTCAGGAATGACTTATTCCTGGGAGTGGTGAGAATTGGTGGTTGGTAACCATCCAGAGTATGAAATTGTTAGAAAGAATATAAACCACAAAACAGCCATTTTATCTTCCCATTTTTTCAAGGAAGGATTCAGTATTTTAATGTGTATGTTCATTTCAAAAAGACAAATAAACAAACTACAATTTTTAAACCAGACCCAATCCAAATTCACTTGCTATCTCAGGAGGTGGTTCTCACCCACCATGCAATGTATATTGGTACTCGTATTTATACTATGGAATTTCAGGGTATGTGAACATGTCCAGCATGACTCAGGTAAATCTTAGAAGAATGTACATTACTTATCATTTCTGTAAAGAAGTGACTAGGAGCTGAGTTAACCAACACTGTTCCATTACCCTGGGTCACTGTGTGAACTCATTCAGGGTATAGGTGTGGTTTAGAGGTCTTGGGATCAAATGCTAGTCTCTGTGCTCAGGCAAAATGACCTTAGGCTTTCTTGAGTAGTCCAGTGGGTATAAGGGGTGGAGCTGTTGACCTCAGGACTACTAGTTTTAAGAAGATTAGCCTTGGTCACCATGATTTTCATCTAGGAGCTAACTAGAAGTTTATGGCATGAGACTTCAAAGAGTATAGAAAAGTTTTGTACCATAATCAAAACTTATTGTTTATCAATCAGAGAGGAAGAAATAGTATATGTTTATTAATCAGAGAAGAATAAATGGTATAGGGTGAAAAACAACAACACAAAATCCCTTGCATAATATTTCAGGTCAAAAGTTGTCTCCTCTCCACACCTTGTAGAAATACTCTTCTCTTCAGTGCACTGTGTTATGCAGCAGCTCTAGGTAGACATCATGAGCTCTA